TAACAAATAAATTTTCCATCTGTTGTGAGACTTCTCTTCCTGGGGATGCTAAGCAATGCTTATTCCCTTTTAAGGTTCTAGTGTCAAGCCAATGTTTCATTAAAGTTTTACTGGGGAACCAACGAATTTATTGAGCTTACTTACCGAGATATCTGAGGGGGTGCTGAGGTGTATGTATGACCTGAGTGTATGCACACTGGAAAGCTGTTGCCCAGCATGGGTCATGCCTTCTCTTCCTAGCCTTCCCCAGATTGTATACTTTAGTCCTCCCCAAATCCAGGAGGCCATGTGTGATTAGGGTCAAATTACATACAGTTGGCTGGGAAGAGTGGCTGGATACTCCGGTGAGGGTCCAATGACCCTGCTTGGCCCTCCTTTAATGAATGAGCACAACTGTCAAAAAGCTCAATTGTGATGATGTTTAGCGATTAGGCTCAGCTGAAGTCACGACGACAGTAGTTATTTCATGCAGAAGAGACTGCTGTGTAGCATCATCTTATTAAAAAGACCTAGAATTTAAAATGATTAGGTCCTAGGATCCACATATGAGGGAGAACATATGTCGTTTGTTTTTCTGAGTCTGTCTTACTTCACTTAGTATAATAGTTTCTAGATCCATCCATTTTCCTGAAAATTTCATCTTTAGTGCTGAATAGAACTCCATTGTGCAGATATACCACATTTTTGTTAACCACTCATCAGTTGACGGTTTTGTGCCACTTTGTGACTCTGGAGAGTAATGGAAACTTAGTGAAGGTTTATAACCTTTTCTGTAGGATGTGAGTGTAGGTCAGTGCTTGTCTAGTGTGCTAAAGGCTCAGGTTGAACCCAGCACCAAAAAACAAAAAAGGAAAAGAAGAAATGGAACATTATATATAAAATAACCTTGACAGCAGAAAGTTATGAACGTCCTCCTCTGTTGGTTACTAACATTAATTGACTATTGCAGTTTATGCAAGAACTTTGTATATGCGTATGTGTGTAGCACACACACACGCACGCACACACACATGCACCCACCCACCCACACCCACACACACACACATATATATATAACACAAAACATAAAGGCAGGATGAAAATCTTGCTTTTTGTACTTGTGCACACAGTGGATATTTGTTATTTGTCCTGAGAGATGTGCCCTGAGGTGATTACTTTGTTGTAAACATCATAGAGTAGGCTTTACATGCATCTAGGTGTTGCAGCCTAGTTCACATTGAACTATATGTTATGTTTATATTTGTATACATGTGGCAGAGCCTTTTGCTCTAGGGCCAGAATGAACAAAACAACACAAGGTCAATCAAGCATAAGAGAAAATTATACAGTTGAGAGATATATAATCACAAGATATATGGGCCTGTTGCTGGCAGGTATTTTACACAATGCACTGTTTTAAAGCAAACCTTTATAATAGGAGTACACTCCAAAATAATGGTAAATAGTATAGTAAATACATAAATCAGTATCATGGTGAATTGTTATCATTATCAAGTATTATGTATAGTAGGGCTGGCAGGATGGCTCAGTGGATAAGTATGCTTGCTGCCAAGTCTGACAGCCTGAGTTCAATCCCTGGAATACATGGTAGAAGCAGAGAACCAAGGTCCCCAAGTTGTCCTCTGACTTTCATATGCACTCTATGTCACGTGTGTGCATGTGTACAACCTACACATAGTAAACATAATAAATAAATATTATATATTTTTAAAAGAAAGTGAGCTATAGTTGTATGTGCTGATTGTATCTGATTGGCAGTGCAGTGGGTTTGCTCATATCACTACAGACATGTGACTAATGTGTTGTGCTACAGCATCGTGATGGCTACAGTGTCACTGAGCAGGAAGTATTTTTCAACTCCATTGTAATTTTTGTTTTTGTATATCTGTTTTGTTTTCTTAGGTTCTGTGGGTTTTTTGATGTTTGTTTTGAGGAGACAGTTATGGAGTTTTGAGATTTTTTGTTAGTTTTGTATTTTTATTCTTGTTTTTGTCTCACTGTATAGCTCAAGCTGGCCTACTCTGTAGCAGTGGCTGATCTCAAACTCACAGTCCTCCTTCTTCATACCTCCAAGCACCGAGATTAGGGGCATGTGCCACGACACCTGGGTACAATCATAATCTTATGGGACCACTGTCATTTATGCAGTACATCATAAGCCAAAAATGTTTTTAGCACCTGACAGTATATAAGGTATCTTATGCCTAAGAGCATACTGTAAGTGATCTCATGCTCTTTCAATGGTTTATTGAAGAAACAGTACCCAAGCAGATGGCATAAATAAGTTTGGATTTAAAAACTTCAGTTCCAAGGCCCGCAAAGATGGCTCAGTGGTTAGGAGCACTGACTGCTCTTACAGAGAACCTAGATTTGATTCCCAGAACCCACATGGCGGCCAATCACTGTCTCTAACTCTGGTTCCAGGGTGTTCGACGCCCTCTTCTAGCCTCCATGGGCATTGCACAACATGCGTGCACTTATACACATGCAGGCAAAACATTCATACACATAAAATAAAAATAAATTTAGAAAAATTTAAAACCTTGAGCTCCCAATATTTCATGAGAGGAGCTGTCACTGGCATTGCTGCTGCCTACTTCCCAAAACTTAAGTGTTTAACAAAACAAATTTACTTTTGTCTGTGGGTCTTTAGGTCAGTCAGATGGACTTAACTTCAGGTTGTAAGTTGAGTCTGGTCTTCTCCATCTCTGTGATTCTAGAAGCAGCACATCATAGCCTCTGTTCACAACACATCTATTCGCCACATACAAGCCACAGCCATTCATTTGACCAAGTACATACCAGAAGGACAGGAAAATACTCTTCGCTCTCCTTCCCCTCCTCTTTGCCCCCCTCCTTTTCTTTCTCCTCCCCCTCCTCTTCTTCCTCCTCTTCCTCTTTCTCATCTTCCTTCTCCATGGAAGGGTATTCAGTTACATGACAAAGATTGGGGGCATATACTTCTACTAGAGGGAGTTGAGAAAACAGTAAGAATCTGCTCTCCCTCAGAGCCCTTTTGATACCTAAGTAGACTGTAGAAATCTCTACTTTAAAAATACATTATTCACCAAAACTTATTTAAAGATAAGAAACCATGTTATGTTGAAATTTCAAATCTGAACTCTGAAATGAGGCTCTAATTGTGTCTATCTTTGTTTTCTTTCTAGAGATATGAAGATGTTTGGGTTGGATTGCCATCACCTATTCCTGTTAAATATATTAGGTACTTAGACTTTTTGGAGGATGTGTACGGCTTAGAGGAGAAGTGACTGTGACAGTTTTGGTCACTGCCCTTTGATTATTGCTCGATCTTTTTCCATGTTTATTTTAATAGATATAATTTCATTTAAAAAAAAAGAAACAAGATTAACATGAAATGGAAATGCATAAACTACACTTAATCTTCTTTTGTCACTGTAGTTCTTCAGAACAGCCTATTATATTGCTGATGTACCAACACTATTAAAAATGCCATTTAAAACAATGTTGAGCATTCTTATTGTATGTATTATTTATGAATACCAAAGGATTTTATGGTAATTTTCATCCAACATAATTTGATTCATTACAAGGTAAAAAGAAAATGACTTTTGACAGCTATGCATGACAGAATAAAATCAAATTATATCAGAGCAGTAAGTTGTTAAACATTTTTGAAATCTTTTTGACACATGTTTATTGCTTACATAATTAAGTTTTGTGGCAACCCACCTCATCAAAATAATCCTTAGACCTCTCTAGAGTAAATGTGTTTATTTTCTGAAGCTAGTGAAGTTATGGGAAGAAAAGGAACCTTCTCTCTGCCAACAAACACACATGCATATGCATGCACACTCAGGAGAGAAATTAAAACATACACTGTGTTTATATTTTAATGCCTTTTTTGTATTTAGAGTCACCTTCTTAGCTTGGGAATATATGCATGCATATATAATTAGAGCATGACCAAAAACGTATTATGCTTAAAGTAATAGGGATGTGATTGTGGAAGATTTCAAGGGTCTGCTTTGATGCATTTTATATGCACACCACCAGCCCATTAACCTCCAGTCCAGAGTTTTAATATTTTGAATGATAGTGGTTCTCCCCTCCATTTTCCTGCTTCTATTTTTGTTTCTCTGCAGCAGAGATCTTGTCATATAGTACTCATCTGATTACAAACTATCACCATGGGCCTCTAGAAATTCAGTGTCCAGAAGTCCCCTGTCCATGCCAGAACTCCATGTTAGGTGCTAGATACCATAAATGCATTTGCTTGCTGTTCTCAGAGAAAGTAGAAGTCTGTCAGGAAGGGATCGTGCCAGTCATTTTTCAGGGGCTTCCTGAGGAGAAGAAGAGGAGCTGAGGATAGTTCAGGGTCCCCTCCTATCTCCTTATTCATTCATTCTACATCTGTAGCAACATCTTGCCTAAAGCATGAGGTGGTTTCTAGCTACATGGACTAGTTTTATTTGACAACAATGACTCTTTGATTTTTTAAATAGAAACTGATCTCTAAACTACTTCTCTCTCCATAAACCTAGGACAATTCCATGTCACCACTGGGATAGATCTCACAGAGCTCTCCAATAAACTGGTATTCATAATTTAGATACTAGAACAGTGGGCCCATAAAACCTTAATTTTGACTGCTTGATTTTTGTTCCAGTTTTTTATAAGACAACAGTGCCAAGCAATTTTGTCACTTTAAGATTTTTCCACTTCCCAGAGAGCAAGCTTTTAAAGGATGACACTTGCCTAGAAGTTTTCAAGCTGACACATCTGTCATGTACCTATTCAACCCTTCACTCAATTGTCTTTCCTTCAAGAGTTTATCTATATAGATAATTTAGCCCTTGTGCAGGCTTGTAATGAAATTCACTTGAGAAGCAGGAAGAAAAAAAGAAAAGGAAAGAAACTAATGATGGTAGTCCCAAGTTCATGGGGTAGCAGCTACTCCTTCTGTTTCATAGATCTGCATTCCTGCCTTGGTGGTTCCTGGTTCCAGCTCACAATTAACAATGAAATGGCCGTTATAGGAATCATGCCGATAAATATGATGCATTGCAGCCATACAGACACTTTAAACAATTATTTGTTTTATAAGTAAGCCATATTCTGAAGGAGATTGATAATTTAGAGATAATATCCCCATTAGTAAAGTTTATGACCCAATAAACAGCTCCCACTAGTTAATAAATGCCAAAGCCATAAAAATAAAGACTATTAATATAATAGAATTTCTGTGCCTCCCTCTTTTGCTGGTGGTCTGAAGACACTGAGGAAAATGCTATCGTAGGAAAAACATTTATTCTCACTATGTAAATATCAATGAATTGTCTTATACTGCAGCTGGAAATCTCCCAGCGCCCCCTTGGTCTCAGGTGGTCCCCAAATGCTGATGCATTCTGCTTGGGTTTCAAGCAGTAGTTAACTAATTTCAACCCAAATAAACTCTGTGACTCAGATCTGTAAGGCAGATGGAGAGGAGGCTGGGATTTCTTCTCTTCTCCTTCCTTCTGCAGAAGAGAAATCCTAGCTATTGTCATTGTTCCAAGGTAATAATTTTGAAAAGAAGTTTCACAACCTTTGAATACACATATTTTTAGCTCCTAACATTTTCCTACTATGATGGAAAGCAAGTGCTACATGTAGATGTCAGGGTGAGTTGAAGGTTAATGTAAGCAAACCTTTTGTCCTGTGAACTAATTGTTTATTAGTATTCTTGAAGCCCTAGGAATGATTGATAAAGTCATTTGGAAGCCCAAATCATGTCTTTTTAGACAAAAAGTGACTAAAAGCTGTTGAAGTTCACATTAATGGCTTGCTGAGTCACTGTTGTGAAGTATGAATATTGTAAAAAGATGATGAATTTACATTATTAGTTGTCCTTTTCATTGTCTTTTTTTAACCTATTACCTAATCATTTGAAGAATAATGTGGATAAGTCTGTTGATTGGCTTAGCACTTACTAAAATGATTAAGAGTTTTGACAGTAGAGAAGATGTGCAGAACACTATAACTTTTGAGCATGTGATAGTTAAAATTTTTGCCCATTTTATTCTATGTATTGCCTTTGATTCAATTAATGTCATCTGTACCTTTACTGTTATTTTTTATATTATGCTATTTGAAGTTTGTTTCTATGGGGTTGTATACCTTCTAAGGCTTTCAGGATATTTGAATTGCTATTCATTCCTTGAAATAGCAGGGAATATTGATGAGTAAAATGAGTTCTCAAGTTTAAGAAGAAAATCTGCCTTTCCAGTGTGGATTTATTTTCATTTGAATGGGAGCTGCTTTCTTCCTTAGCCCTTCCCTTTCTTCCATGCGTTATAAATTTGCTAGTTATAAGTTCAGAGATTGGAGCCTTAAATAGTAAGGCTCCTCATGAAATATTTATGATTGTGAATAATGCAAAATCTATCCAATCATGAATTGTCATGTTATTAACTGTATGTATATTGAATTCGTATGTATATGAGTATAGATTCCTGAATTTTGAGTATCCTTCAATATTGGTCTGTAATGACCTTTCAGACTAAGAGCTCCCAAATGGCAGCAAAATGTATATCCCAGTGATGCACTCTGCCCTCATGTTTGCTTCACTAAAGTCTGAATTGCTTCAAGTTGAAGGCAGATTAAGACCTTTTCAAAAATGAGTCTTTTCAATTTGACTGAGCATCTTCAGAGACACAATGCTTTTCAATTCCTAAGAGAATGTACTGCGTGAAAAATGGAAAGCCTACTGAGGCAAGATCAATGAGGCTATTGAGCGAATAATCAACCTGGAGCGATAATGGAGCAAACATCATTATTACAAAGGGGAGCACTAACTGTGCAATTAGTTTAAGAGAATCTTGCAACTTGCTTCCACCTGTCTTCTACCAGGTTATATATTGGTTTAAATATACATTTTCACTCTGGGTCAATTAAGTTCCTGCAAACTAACAGTTCTGAGATGCCTTTGTCACAGAGTCGCCAGCATGGGCACCTTCTTTGCATCTATTTCCTGGTCCCCAGTAAAATTCCTTCCAAGGGGACTTTCGAACCCATTATGTGTCTGGTGTGCGACACACAGGAACCCAGGGGTCAGCTTTGCTGCTCAGAAACAACTGATAATGGCTAAAAAATGTGGCCTATGAAAAACTCCACAGTAGATCGGCAAGCAGAGAATTAATGGCTCCCTGGAATCAGTAGGAGCTTTTACTTCTAAATACTCATTAGTTAAAGCAGTGAGGCCTGATGTTATGCAAGTTAGAGAGGGAAAGGGAGACCGCCCCTCCCTATTGTCTATTTTGAACAGAATATGCACATTTAACTCAAAGTGCTGAATGGATCAAATACATCAAACCAACTATTCATCAATCTGCCAGCTTCCTGAGCACCGCTTTACATCCCTGTAAAGCCAACAATAGAGAAAATTCTTGTTATGACCCCACTGTAATATTAAAATCCAGAGGAGCCCATGGCTTGGTAAAAACACAAAACTGCATTCTCCTTTACAAACCGGTCCTCCAAAATCATCTTTGTGTTTCTTTTTTCCTGCATTGCCTATACAAGAACATTTGACTGCCATAGGAACTTGATTAAAAATTGCTTTCGCCTGTATTTTTTCCCCTCATACCACCATGGTTCTTCATTATTGCTGTGAGGCCACCCATGGGATACAGAACAGGAGCTGAAAATATCACCAGTTTTAACTATGACCAGCCCCTGCAGAAGGAGAAAGGAAGTGGTAAGAGAGAGCAATTGCAGAGGGGAGTTGGGAGAATGGAGACCCCTGTTTAGTGTGTGACTCACCTTAAAGAGTTTGACCTTCATCCTGAGGGAATGAGATATTACTGCAAGATTTGAATCTTGAGTCTCAAAAAATCATGTCTGGATTTGAAAATCTCTGGCTGCTCGCTGTGTGTGAACTAAAGAGCTGGGTTTCCGTGTAAGAAGGCTTGATTTGGTAACTGTTGCCAGAGAAATGATAGATGGTTTGGATTAATGTTATTTTGGTGAGATTCAGAACTGGGGTGACTGATAACACATTTGGAATGTTGGAAATGAGAGAGGTGAAATCACGATTATGATTGGGACATTTTGACAGCTGGGTAGATGGTATTGCTGTTCACTGTACTGGGATACCCCAGAGAAAAATAGGTTAACAGAAGACCAAGAATTTTGCCTGGGGCTGATGAGATGGTTCAGTGGGTAAAGGATAAAGGCACTTTCCATTAAGCCTGTTCCCATGAATTCGATCCCTGGAACTGACATGGTGGAAGGAGAGAACCTACTTGTGCAAGCTGTCCTCTGACCACCATGCTCCTGTCATGGCACACATGCCTACACATAGTATATACATACACAAACACAAATAATAATAATTTTTTTAAAGAATTCTACTGGAAAGCCAGGTGTGGTGATGCACACAGATACTCTGAGTACTAGTGAGTTGACAGCAAGGGATATATTATTTGAGTCATCAGAATGTTGACAC